TTTTTAAAAAATTCAATCTGGTATACTTGGAAAAAGGCTCATTTACACTTATTTAACTAAAGATGTGTTTTGATTTGGTTTAGAAAAGAACCTGATGATAATCCTATTACTCATATAACAAAACTGAGAAAGCCTAAAGAAACCATAAACCTGGAATTGAGGTTTTTTTGCAGCCCAAACAAGTAGAGAAACCTGAAGGGCCAAGGTCTCTGTACCACGTACCTCATTTTATTGCACTTCACAGATAACGTGTCTTGTGCAAATCGAAGTTTGTGGCGATGCTGCGCTAGGCAGGTCTCGCAGTGCCAGTTTTCCACGTTTGCTCACTTCGTGTTTCCCTGTCTCATTTTGGTAATTGTTGAATATTTCAAACTTTTTCATTATTACTATATTTGTTATGGTGGTCTGTGATCAGTGGTTATGACTTGCTGAAAGCTCAGATGATGGTTAGCATTTTTTTAGCAATAAAGTATTTTTTAATTAAGGTATATGCTTTTTTTTTTTTTTAGATGTAATGCTATTGCACACTTAATAGACTACGGCACAGTATTAGCGTAACTTTCATCTTGCACTGGGAAACCAAAAAATTCATCTGACTTGCTTTATTGAGACATTCCCTTTACTGCAGTGATCTACAGTTGAACTCGCAGTATCAGTATGCCAGCACCGCGTGGTGTTTTAACATGATTTACGAGTCTAATATGATTAAGAGAAGACCTTATCTCTTCTCTTTCAGACGTACTAGTTGGATCCATGATTGGCCTGACATTTGCCTATGTCTGCTACAGGCAGTATTATCCTCCGCTGACTGACGCAGAATGCCATAAACCATTTCAGGACAGACTTGTACTTCCCATTGCACAGAAGCCTGGTGATCCTTATCATTTTAGTATTTAGAAATTGGAACTACCTCGGTGGAGATTAGGTGAATCACCCTTCGTAACTGCCCAAGAATTTCTGACCTTTTGTCTCTTAAGAGGTACAAGTGAGGACATCAGCACTTCATTCTGCCTCCATATGTTTATGCAGTTTTGCTCACATGGATTTATCATGGAGTCAAAGTTCAAGGTTCTTTTTCACTGCTCTGTGCCACACATTTGGTAAAAAGATCATACAGTAGTCTACCAGCTGGTATCCCAATATCTACAGCATTTTACATTTCATTTAAATGCCATTCTGGGAAGGATCTTTCACAAAGAAGCCTTTGCAAGGGGTGCCTGGGTGGCTCAGTCAGTTGAGCGTCCGACTCGATTTTGGCTCAGGTCATGATTTCAGGGTTGTGGGATTGAGCCCCATTTCGGGCTCTGTGCTGAGCATGGAGTCTGCTTAAGATTCTCTCCCTCCGCCCCTCTCCCCTGCTCGCTCAGGCTCTAAAATAAGAAAAAAAGATTTTACGAAGAAGCCTCTACATATCCTAGAAGCTAGAGATGAATTTCCATTTTCTATAGCTCAAAATCTTAAAATCCAGGGCATGACCAACTGAAATTTTGGTTCTGTTTACTTTCTCTGGTGACAATTCCATCAAACCTTATATAGGAAAATGTCCAATTCTGGCTGTTTTACCTTCCTACATATGTACCTTACCTGAGTCTAGTCAAATATTGCTGTCCATTTTAAATACTGTGGACATAAATTATTTATTGAATTACTAAGTAAACAGTTTTAAAAAATGGTAAGGACAAATGAGGTGGAAACCACCCTCAGTTGCTAGTACTGAAACATACTCCTAAACTGTGCTCACTAGTTTCCTTCTCTCCATGCATGACTGAAGACCTGCCCAAATGCATCAACTCTGCCAACTGGCTAAGGCAGGAAAGAAAAATTACAGATGTGCTTATCTAGCAGAAAAATGAACTTTCTGTGACCCTTCTTCAAATGGGATACAAGGAACAATTTTACAGGAGATGCTACAGGACCTACAAGTACCTTTCTCTTTACAATCGTACATTAAATATAACCTTGGCTTACGTGTTTCTGTATCTTCAGTGTGTCTTTTTCCTTCAATAAATGTGATATTCAAAGAAGATGGTGACTGTGGGTGTTTTGGGTCCTTAATACCACACGAGAGCCAGAACATTTCCAAATAAAACCCTGGATTCCCCATCTGACATAAGTGACACGACTATCGGTAGTAGAGGCTGATACCTGCAATTACTGAAGAACAGTCTCAGTATTTATTTTGTAATTGCCACGCTTTACTGTATCTGCCTAAAGAAAACACCAGTCCTCGGAAAAGAACTTAAATATTAGTTCTTTGCCCAAACGTTATCTTTTTAATTTGCTTTAGAAATATATACGGGGAGAAAACGGTTATTGTATTAACTTTCTGTATAATGGATGAACCAGGTAAAAGTAGGCAACTGGTCAATATGGTTTTATTTCAGTATTTCATAAACTTTTAAATATAATCATGTAAAAAAACAAACATTTCAAAAAGTGCAAAATATTAGAAAGCTAATCAGTACTATTAATCTTTCCATGCAGACAATCTGTTGCTGAAATAAGCAATACAAATTCTGTAGCAGGAAATATGTAGAAAATGATACTCTACAGTTGAAAAATAGTCTTGGTCAAGACACTGCACATGATACGACCAAAGTAGTGCAAATAATATATAACTAAAGGATTTAAATCAAGCCTATCATCCTATGTGATATGCAACCATGATGCTACCACAGGTGGAGAGACGAGACATCAAGCTCTTGTACAGCTGCCTGCCCCTCCCCATCAGGAAAGAACCATTTCTTAGTCCCAGCAGTGGTTGATCTAGCTATCCCAGGGGTATGCTGTTCATCTTTGGTTACAGGAACTCCTCCTTGCTTGTCCTTTGGTTTACTCTTAAATACGCTCTATTCTGCTAATCGGAAGAATAAACTTAAATTTGAAGACAACTTGACAAAAGCTTCCCCTCTAAAATATAATTAATGCTACTTAATTCTCAGTAACCCTTACTTCAAACTCAGTTTATATACAAAAGTATTCCATGTATCTGACACTTCTTAGTGGCTAAGTCAGCATTAGCCTGTAAAGCAGATGGACAAGGAAAGGCCAGGCACTGACCCTGTACCCCAACCTCACCTCTACCATCTCTAAGGTGACAGTGATTAACTTCCTTTTCCTTTCCTCTCTGGAAAGGGATAAAGACCACTGCAGTTGAAGGGATGGCTGAAGTGAATGTTACATGCCAATGCACTGGATACCATGATACGTTTACAAAAAAACATTTTTTATAAAAAACGAAAACACAGCTTGCCTGCCTGTGCCATTGTTATAGGCCTATGGAGTGTAAAGAACTATCACAAAGAGAACTACAAAGACAAACTGACCAATGAGAAAGAAAACAGCACAGTGGTGAGCAGATGCCTGGAAAAAGTTAGTCTACACGCACCCATCATCTTCAAGGTACCCTTCACTTTGCATGCTCTGACAATGACTGCAGTAGCTGTTCCTTGGCCCCGACAGGCGTAGGTTTTTCTTGCAGAAAAAGAAACATTTCCCCCTAGCCAAACCGACCTGCCCAACCAACACTGCCTGTGCCATGAGGCTTCTAATACATTTTCTGGATTATGGGTACCAAGGAAGGCAATGGTGTTTACAAAATGTTTTCAAACAGAGCACACAGTACTACCTTCACCCAAGTGGATATGGTGGTTGACTGTCACAGATTCTATTTCACCATAAATGTACTCCTGAAATATTTTTATTTATAACCAAAGCAGTCTGTCAAGGCTTGTATAACTTTGCCCTCAACTTAAGGAAGAAGCTACTATCCAATAACTAAGTCAAATTTCATCTAAACTCTCCTAAGTTGAAGCACGATATACAAAGACAGGTCTAGCATATATAACATCTTTGCTTTATAAAGATGCACCTAATGTGAACTAAACTATCCACTTTAGACTCTGAGAGCAGCTCCAACAGCTGTGAAAATAATGAACAGCATCAGTGATTCCTCTGATCAACTGTCAGCTGTAGAGAATAAACAATAACTCTCTCCCAGCTACATTTTGGTCCTTCACAAAGTACTTGTAGGAAAGAAAAGTGGACTCAAAAGAATTTGCTCAACAGTCTTTTACACACCCACTTAGCCTTCAAGTGCAGAGAACACCAATGAGACATGTGTACCCCAAAATGCCTTCTGAATCTCAAGCCTGTTTCCAAACTAGAGCATTTTCTAAAGACAAGCAATAACCTCCTAGAAAAATGTCTACCCAAGCCAAAATAAACTCAAAAGACTTTATACGGTCTCAAGGAATAAGCAATAAAAATAAAGGATGGCACCTGTCACCCAAGAATTAAAGATGCAAACACGCCCCACTATGAAGAATGGCAAGTGCTTATACGAAGCCAGTGGTAAAAAGCAATACGGTCTTCTCTTTGCTTCCAAAAAAGATTATCTTCCAAAGACCCCAGTGGTAAGTGGCAGGTAACATGCAAGAAATGACGTGGCTGAGAGGAAAACGGCAGCAACAAGCAGGTAGATTTTCTGGGGAAGGATCCTTCAGTGTCTGTCTAGGGAAGAGTGGAAAGAGGTCACAATGCAGTCACAGCTGGAAGGCAGCCAAGCAGAATGCCAGAGCCTGATACATGGACGTTCTTGTTACACATCTAAAAGGCTGAGTAACTTAAATCTCAGGATGTGTTGTTCATAATTAAAATTCTAACTACTGCCATGGTAACTCTCAGATGATCAGAACTATTAAGATTCTGAGTTTAGATCCTAAAAATGATTAAGTGTTATTGGACCAAATCACTAGCAAAGTAAATGAACACTAACTAACCTTTCTCTAAGTGGGCTATTGTGCTTTTTCCCCCAGGAATTTTAACCAGAGTCCCTCTAAAAATGAATAATAACCTAGATCTTGGTGACAGGCAAGAGAAAAGTATATTTATAAAGAGCCCAAGTCTACACTGTTCCCCATAACATATTAATATGTAGGAACCATGCAGCATACGTGACATTTAAAAACTCACATTAAGTAGCCATACATAGTTGATTTTTACTGTAAAGGCTGATCAAGGAAGATGCCCTGGGTTTGGTAGATTTCTTTGAGGACCAGCAATACGGTATCTTCAGACTCCCTGTAAAGAGAAAAACTTACATTGTAAAAAGCAGCAGCTAATGTTCATACTTAAAGATGCTTTACACATACTACCTCATTTACACAACCACTGTGCAAGTTCATTTTTTACAATAAAAAGTTCATTTTACAGTGGGATATTTATTACTCAGCCATAAAGAATAATGAAATCATGCCTTTTGCAACAATATGAATGGACCTGGAGGTTGCTAAGTGAAGTGAACCAGACACAAATACCATATGATTTCACTTATATGTGGAATCTAAAATACAAATGAACAAACCAGACTCTTAAACACAGAGAACAAATGTGGCTGCCAGAAGGGAGATGGGTGTGGGCAAATAGGTGAAGGGAATTAAGACATACTAACTTCCAGTTATAAATAAGTTGGGGCGCCTGGGTGACTCAGTCGGTTTGAGTATCCGACTCTGGATTTCGGCTCAAGTCATGATCCCAGGGTCGTGAGATCAAGTGCCGCATCCAGCTCTGTGAAGCATGGAGCTTGCTTGGCATTCTCTCTCTCCCTCTCTCTTCTCTCCCCTGCTCACACATGCTCTTTCTCTCTCTTAAAATAAATGCTCAGCACAAAGTCAGATGCAGGGCTTGATCCCATGACCCTGGGTTCATGACCTGAGCCAAAATCAAAAGTTGCACACTCAACCAACTGAGCCACCGAGGAGTCCCTGAGCTATATATCCTTAAGGCAATCCTTCATGATGTTATTTTATATAACCAAATTTCTTTATGAACTGGATATGAGCAATTGCTGGGACACACACAGAATAGTATCTGGAAGATGCATGAGAAATTCATAACATTGACTGTCATAAGATGGGAACTAGTGGTTAAGAAGCCGGTGGGAGGGAAACTTCATTATTATACCCTTTTATATCTTGAATTTTGAACCAGGTGATTGCATTACCTTAAAAATTTTTTTTTTTTTTACTTTTTGAGAGAGACAGAGAGAGAGAGTGCGAGTGCACTCATGCATGAGTGGGGGAGGGGCAGAGACAGGGAGACACAGAATCTGAAGCAGGCTCCAGGCTTTGAGTTGTCAGCACAGAGCCCGATGTGGGGCTCCAAATCATAAGCCTGAGATCATGACCTGAGCTGAAGTCAAACACTTAACCAACTGAGCCACCAGGCGCCCCCAGTGTTACCTTTTTTCTTAAGTTTATTTATTTTGGAAGGAGGGGGGGAGAGAGGGGGAGAGAGAGAGAGAGAGACAGAGAGAGCATGAGCAGGAGAGGGGCAGAGAGGGGGGGTGAGAGAGAATCCTGCTAAGACCTCAGGCATCAGCACAGAGCCCGGCGGTTGTTGATGAGCCAGATCCTGCTTGGCTTCTCTCACAGTTCCTCTCCTCACATTTCAAAATAAATAAAATGTAAAAAACAAAACAAAACAAAACTAAGATGACCAACTGGATGGCTCTTCCCATACTGTCCCAAGAATGAGCTCTGTGAAAAGGGAACAGTTCTTGGCCATTTACTACTAAATTTTTTTTTTTTTTTTTACATTACCAGACATACTGCTAGACATTTTTTTTGTTTGGTTTTTGTTTTTTTTGGTTTTTTTTTGTTGTTGTTGTTAGAGAAAAAGAGCACATGCACAAGAAGGGGAGGGGCGGAGGGAGGAGCAGAAAGAGAGAATCTCAAGCAGGCTCCAGGCTTTAAAAAAAAAAAAAAGAAAGAAAAGCAACCAAGTTTAAAAATAAAATAAAAACTATAGTATGCAAAATACATACATTGAAAACTACAGAACATTGCTGAAGGAAATTAAAGACCAAAATACACTGAGAGATACTGTGTTTGTGGAGCTGAAGACTCAATATCATTCAGATGTCAATTCTGTCATTTTATGTGCACATATTATGCAATCACAAAATCCCAGAAAGCTTTTTATTTGAAATTAACAAGCTCAATTTAAAACATACGTGGAAATGCAAAGGACCTACAGTAGCTAAAATAAAGAAGAATAAAGTTGGGTGACTCACAATACCTGATTTCAAGACTTATTTTGAAACTACAGTAATCAACACAATGTTTTACTGGCATAAAGACAAGCAAATAGATCAATGGAACAACCTAGAACCAAGGTAATTCAGTCTCCATCTGAATAAATAAATGTTGCTACAACAACTGGATAGCTACATGCAAACCAGTGAACTTCAATTCTTACCTCACACCATATTAAAAAATTAACTCAGGGGCGCCTGGGTGGCGCAGTCGGTTAAGCGTCCGACTTCAGCCAGGTCACGATCTCGCGACCCGTGAGTTCGAGCCCCGCGTCAGGCTCTGGGCTGATGGCTCAGAGCCTGGAGCCTGTTTCCGATTCTGTGTCTCCCTCTCTCTCTGCCCCTCCCCCGTTCATGCTCTGTCTCTCTCTGTCCCAAAAATAAATAAATGTTGAAAAAAAAAATTTAAAAAAAAAAAAAAAAAAAAAAAAAAAAATTAACTCAACCAAAATGGATCACAGACCAAAATATAAAAGCTAAAATGATATAACTTCTAGAACACAAGTGATATCTTAATGACTTTGGATTTGGCAAAGATTTCTTAAATATGTTAAAAAATCACAAATGTCAATAAATTGGACTACATCAAAATCAAAAACTTTTGCTCTTCAAAACATTTTGCTGGAAAAATGAAAAACCACATTCTGAGAAAAAAACATGTATCTGAAAAGGATTTGTAACTAGCATATAGAAAGAACTCCTGAAACTTAAAAAGAGAATCTATTTTCCTTAATGGACAAAAGATTGAAACAGTTCTCCAAAGAAGATGTATAGATGGCAATCACATGAAAATATATTCAACATCATTAGGGAAATGCAAATTAAAACCATAGTGAGGTGTTATTACAACCCATTTAGAAAGGCTAAGAGACAAATCATGAAGTTATCATACCGAGTACCCTTGAAGATACGGAGCTATTGGAACTCTCAAACATTGCTGATGGGAATGGAAAATGCTGGCAGGAAAAGTTTGGCAATTTCTTTTTTATTTTAAGTCAGCTCCACACCCAGCGCAGAGCCCAATGCGGGGCTTGAACTCATGACCCTGAGATTAAGACCTGAGCTGAGATCAAAAGTCGAACGCTTAATCGACTGAGCCACCCAGGCACCCCTGGCAGTCACTTTTTTTTTTTTTTTTAATTTTTTTTTCAACGTTTATTTATTTTTGGGACAGAGAGAGACAGAGCATGAACGGGGGAGGGGCAGAGAGAGAGGGAGACACAGAATCGGAAACAGGCTCCAGGCTCTGAGCCATCAGCCCAGAGCCTGACGCGGGGCTCGAACTCACGGAGCGCGAGATCATGACCTGGCTGAAGTCGGACGCTTAACCGACTGCGCCACCCAGGCGCCCCTGGCAGTCACTTTTAAAAATACTTTTACCCTACAATACTTAGCCATTATTACACTCCTAGGTATTTTCCCAAGAGAAACTAAAGAATATGTCCATATAAAGTTTTGTACACGAATGTTCACAGTTTTATCTATAATAGCCAAAAACTGGAAACACCCCAAATGTCCACCAGCAGGTAAATGAACAAATTGGGGTACATGCATACAATAGACTACTACTTGGCAATAAAAAGGAAAGAAACTGATACACATCATGGAGAATGAAGGAAGCCATACAAAAAAGGGTATATATAATAGGATTCCATTTATAAAAAAAAGTCATATGGCATAATGCCAGCAACTCCAACTGTAAGTATTTGCAGATCTACTCATGATTAGGTGAAATGACATAAACAAGGTGTATAAAGTTCTAGAGTAGAGAAATCTAAAGAGACCCAGCAATAAAAGACTATTTAAATGAATTACAGAATATTCATATAGTGGAGTACTAAAGCTACAAAAGAATGGAGAAACTCTTTATACCTGATAGGCAAAAAACTCCAAGACTCGCTAGTAAAAAAAGCAAGTTACAGAACAATACCTATAATATGATACTTCTGTATTCGTTAAAAGAGACATATAATACAGTCACATATTCACACTTGTGGTATACATGTATAAAATAGACCTCTAGAAGAAATTAGTAAGGAGGTTCCTCAAAAAGTTGAAAACAGAACTACCCTATGATCAAGACTGTCTTTGAAGCTGTCCCTGAATTTACAGCTGAGAGAACACAGCAGCCCAGAAAGCCAGGAGTGGAGACTGTGGGAGAAAGGGGTTCATCATGGTAGATGACCTAAAGTGATTGTTGTATAAAAAATCATCAGGTTGTTGAAGAGCTCCATGCTATTGTTGTGTCATATAAAGATGAAGTGCCTGTTATTAAAGTGGCCAGTGATAATGCTCCAGAGCATGCTTTGAGACCTGGTTTCTTAACTACTTTTGCTCTTCCAACAGACCAAAGGAGCAAACTTGGACTTCCAAAAAGTGAAAGTATCATCTGTTACTGTAACACCTACTGGGTGGTTCAAGTCAATTGTTTATTTTTGGTGGTGAGTTTCACAGCCAGCAGCAATGCCAATACAGGACTAATTGTCAACCTAGAAAAGGAACTTGCTCCATTATTTGAAGAATTGAGACAGGTTGTGGACATTAATCTGGCAGTTGTTTTGATGTATACCTTAACTTTCTTTATAACAGACATATATCAATCCAGCAATCTTTACAGACCATAATACTTGTATCCCTGTACTCAAGAAAGGGCCCTCTTTCCCACCTTACACTAAAAAAAGAGCCTATAGATAAAATTTATGGACATATTGTTATCTTTTCATGCGTAGGGTATTTTCTTATTTAGTGAGATCTGGGAATACCACAGAAATGGTTCAATACATCACAGCTCTCATGGTGTTAGCCAGTCACCAACTACGCATGAGATTCTATTCAGTGGGTCAGAATCAAAATTGTACTCTGGAGGTGCCTGGGTGGCTCAGTCGCTTAAGCATCTATTTTCTACTCATGTCATGAGTAATCTCATGGTTTGTGAGTTTGACCCCTGCACTGGGCTCTCTGCTATCAAGTGCAGAGCCTGCTTTGGATCCTCTCCCTCTCCCCCTTCCCTATTTGCACCCAGTCTCTTTCTCAAAAATAAACATTAAAAAAAATAATTACACGGGCGCGTGGGTGGCTCAGTCAGGTAAGCGTCTGACTCTTGATTTCAGCTCAGGTCATGATCTCATGATTCATGGTTTGAGTTCTAGGTCGGGCTCTGCACTAACAGTATGGAACCTATTTGGGATTCTCTTTCTCTGTCTCCATCTGCCCCTTCCCTTCTCATATTCTTTCTCCTCTCTCTCTAAATTAAAAAAAAAATTAATTTTTAAAAAAATTAAAAACTGATCCACTTGAGCCATTAAGTGCTACCTATTGCATAATATGCCCAGTCCTATAAAATGAACCAGGAGCTTTTCATTGTGAATAACAACAAGGATGTATTTTTCTTTATAGTGTTTTATTTCTTTGCTCTGAGTGTGAGGAAGATATAATGGCTTAGTAAAAGTAATAAAATCAGTAAAATTACTAAAAAAAAAGGAAGAATAGGGCGCCTGGGTGGCTCGGTCGGTTGAGCATCCGACTTCGGCTCAGGTCATGATCTCACGGTCCGTGAGTTCGAGCCCCGCATCGGGCTCTGTGCTGACTGCTCAGAGCCTGGAGCCTGTTTCAGATTCTGTGTCTCCCTCTCTCTCTGCCCCTCCCCCGTTCATGCTCTGTCTCTCTCTCTGTCTCAAAAATAAATAAACGTTAAAAAAAAAAATTTTTTTTTAATAAAAAAATTTAAAAAAGGAAGAAAAAAAGAACACCCTGTGATCCAGTGATTGCACTACTAGGTATTTAACCCAAAGAATACAAAAACAGTAATTCAAAGGGATACATACACCCCAAGATTTATAGCAGCATTACCTACAATAGCCAAAATATGGAAACAGCCAAAACCCATTGATAGACGAATGGATAAAGAAGAGGTAGTATATATACACAATGGATACTACTCAGCTATAAGAAAGAATGAAACCTTGCCATTTGCAACAACATGGATGGAGCTAGAGAGTATTATGCTAAGTGAAATAAATCAAAGAAAGACAAACACCTATGATTTCACTCATATGTGGAATTTAAGAAACAAAACAAATGAGCATAGGAAAAAAAAAAAAAAAGAGAGAGGCAAACCAAGAAACAGACTCTTAACTCTAGAAAACAAACTGATGGTTACCAGAAGGGAGATGGGTGGGGGGATGGGTGAAATAGGTGAGAGGATGAAGGAGTGCACTTGTGATGAGCACCAGGTGGACGTATGGAAGTGCTGAATCACTATCTTATACACCTGAAGTTAACATTACACTGTATGGTAACTAAATGGATTTAAATAAAAACTTAAAAATATAATAAAGAATAGGGGCGCCTGGGTGGCGCAGTCGGTTAAGCGTCCGACTTCAGCCAGGTCACGATCTCGCGGTCCGTGAGTTCGAGCCCCGCGTCGGGCTCTGGGCTGATGGCTCAGAGCCTGGAGCCTGTTTCCGATTCTGTGTCTCCCTCTCTCTCTGCCCCTCCCCCGTTCATGCTCTGTCTCTCTCTGTCCCAAAAATAAATAAACGTTGAAAAAAAAATTAAAAAAAAAAAAAAATATAATAAAGAACCATAATTTAAAAAGAAAGCAACCCTTTTTCAGATTTCTATCAAGCCACATCAGCAGAGATCATTCTTAAGAGCATTATTTTGGCCTCTTACAGGACTGCTTTTATTGAGTTGCACTTAGATTATATGTCATGGCCTCTACTGTACTTATTACCTAGAGATAAAACTGACTCCATCAAATAATAATCTCCTTTATCAGGACTCAATAGAAAAATTTCTCTCAAGACGTTAAAGCATTATTTTTTGAACTCTTACCCCCTACCCATCTTATTTTCCTAGTTGTATTTTCCTTTAGTTTCAAATATTTGATGATTAAGTTCTTTTCTAATAGATGAATTTCAAAAAGCATCATTAATCCATTCTACAATCCATCAGATAATTATATTTAATAATGATTAATTCTGTTGAATAAGTTCTGGGGATCTAATTACAGCAAGGTACTATAGTCAGTAACACTGTACCATATACCTGGAAGTTACTAAAAGTAAATCTTAAATGTTCTCATCACACACACACGCACAATATATAATTATGTGCAGCGATGGAGGTGTTATCTAATCCTATTGTGTTAACCACTTCACAATATATACATGTATCAAATCACATTGCACATCTTAAATTTATATAATGTGTCAATTACACCTCTAAATCTTGAAAAAATATTTAAACATTAAAAGATTAAACATTAAAGGGGTGTCTGGGTAGCTCAGTCAGTTAAGCGTCCAACTCTTGGTTTCGGCTCAGGTCACGATCACACAGTTCGTGAGCTGGAGCCCCACATCGGGCTCTGCCCTGACAGCGCACAACCTGCTTAGGATTCTGTCTCCCTCTCTCTCTGCCTCTCCCCCTCTTACTATCTCTCTCTCTCAAAATAAATAGAAACATTTTAAAAATTAAAAAATTAAATGTTAAAACAAAACAAAAAATAAAGTCTGTTCTAGCTACTATAAACACTTTTAAATGGGTTTAAAATACTTTTAGCAACAGTAACATATTTGTCCAGTGCATTCATACATACCCATCCTGTCCTACCAATAGCCAAAGGACACCACTTTAAAAGCGGTTTTAGGGGAGACTGGGTGGCTCGTCGGTTAAGCATCCGACTTCGGCTCAGGTCAGATCTCACACTCCGTGAGTTCAAGCCCCACATCAGGCTCTGTGCTGACAGCTCAGACCCTGGAGCCTGCTTCAGATTCTGTGTCTCCCCTCTCTCTGACCCTCCCCCATTCACACTCTGTGTCTGCCTCAAAAATAAACATTAAAAAAAAAAAAAGTGGTTTTAAAAACTAAACTAACTGAACTCAGCATCATCTGCCCATGCTCTATCAAACAGCAAAATAAAACGTGTTTAAATCAGATTTCTTTAAATGACATGATTGTTATTTTGTAAGTACCTAAATGAGAAATCACTCTAATCCCAAATGTACACTAGCCTATGCTCTCTTTTCTGTATCTATCAAATATCTGTAAAATAATCAGACCAAAAAAATAAATAAGTAAAATAAATAGTAAAAGTAATAAGTAATAAAATAATAAGTAAAAAAGTAAAATAAAAAGACCAAAAATAAATAAGTAAAAACCCACACCCCAGAAACAAAAGCAAACAACACTTACCAGTAGCATAGATGGCTTTGCAAAGCAAATAAATATTCATTAAAACTTTCAATGGGCTTCTCTTGTAGCACATAGTCAATGCGTTGGCCTCCATTCAGCATTCCCACATTGATGGGTGGAACTTCTTTAACGGCCACAGAGGCCTCTTCTGTGTTAACATCTGGACATGGAGGAACCACAATAACCATCTAAAAGCTTCCAGTCTCCCAAGATTACCCTAACTTCCCCTCAGATGGCTAAGTTTACAGTGGGATGAGATACTCTCTGTTCAGAAAGCTCTCTGCACCTTCTTCCTTTCAATCCCCTTAAAGCTTCTCCTCAAGTCACAATGATTTTGTCCGATCCCATTTTTTTCTTTCCTGTACCTCTGATAGCGAATTCATTTGCATCTGGTTTATAAATAAATGTACCTATAGAAATCTTTAGGCAGTTGAAAATTAAAGCAAAAAGAATGCAAAGTTAACTGTGAAATTAAGAGGAGATATATGAGCTAGTGCCCAGCCAGGAAAATAAAATGGACTAATGAATACACAGACATTCCCCTGAAAAAGCTTCACAGAGGGATCTAACATCCAGAATTCCCAAGTGAGGAATGTCTTTTAACGCCTCTTGACCAGGTGCTTAGCTTCTCTTGACATTTTTCCTCACAAATAATGTTTTTCCATAATTCGTGGCTATTCGATAATAGAAAAGACTAGCAGAGCTGAAAGCCCATTAGGACTCATAATATTGGTCCTATACAATAAAAAGGGAAAAACAGGTAAGTAAGAACTCCTGGGAGAAGAAGAATTACACATCATGGAGTTACTCTTATCTGATGTGATGTAGGAAATCAAAGTGTACAGTGTCACTGACCACTTAGCTTCTCTGAACTCGATTCCGATTCTGCTTCAGTTTCTTCTGCAGTTTCTGAAGCTTGTAAGGCAGGGTATGGAGCTCTGGTGAAAGACTTCCAGGCCATCCGCAGTGAACCTAACAAGTTGTTCTTAAGGTCCATACTCATCCTGGTCAAGCCCTCTCTCAGTTCTGAAACATACATGAATAACAACATTACATGGTTTACAAAGAGTTTAGGGTCCAACACAGTTAAATAAAGTGAATGAGATCCAGTCAGTTTGCACTGACCAGACCGTCTAGAATTACAAGTTCTGAACTCAGACTTACCTAAGTGCATCCGCTTCCTGCCTTTATGGTGTGGAATCAGCATTGGCTCAAATTCCACTCCTGGGACCACCATCGGTTCAATCCTATAGGCCACAGGATCAAACTACATAGAAAAAAAATAACAGCTACATATATACCTCTGCTGAAGAAACTCAGAAAGTCTTAGGAACTATCAGGCAAGAATAACTATAAGCTCATTAAAAAAAAAGTTATTTTGCCTCATTACTTTCAGATTCAAACGATTATAAGTTGTCTCATTACCACAAAATAATATAGAAAAAAAGCAAATCAACACAACAGAAAATTATATGCTCTTGGGGCACCTGAGTGGCTCAGTGGGTTAAGCATCAGACTCTTATTTTCGGCTCAGATCTTGTGGTTCATGGGATTGAGCCCTGAATTGGGCTCACACTGACAGCATGGAACCTACTTGGGATTCTCACTCTCCCTAGCTCTGCCCCTCCCCCCCCTCAAAATCAAGAAATAACCATTAAAAAAAAAAAAAGGAAACAGAAAATTATGTGCTCTTTACCAATGAGCCCTAATATTCAGGTGAAAACATGTCCAATGCTTACAGGGTGATAAATATTGAAGAAACCTTTGCATGTTGGAAATTTATAGTTGGGATCAATTCTTTTTAGTCCTCGGACGGTAAGGAACATTCCAATGGGCGAGCCAAAGGCAAAAAATATCTCTGGTTTATAGATGAGTCGGGGGTATTTTACAGACACCTGGAAAGAGGATATAAAAATATCTCTCATTGTTAGCAGAAGTGACAATTGTTCCTACCATACCAATGGCAGGCAATAAAATGACCAAAGAGAATTAATTAAAATTGTTACCTGCCCAATGCCAACATCCAGATAGTCACCATTTCCAGTAGAGTCTGTTTTATTGCAAAACTCCAATTCTTTGGGGATGTTAGATATATTCACCCCTGAAGCTGGCTGCAGGATTGGTCTATTAATACCCTAAAGAATAATACAATGCCGTGAAGCTATGCAGTAAAAATATCCAAAGGCTTATATAGTTTTTTTATTGGTTTGAAAGGATGCTTACGAGTGTTCTGAATTTTAGGAAGAGTCCTCAAAAAACAAGATAAAGCTGATGAAAACAAAAATTGTCTTAAATAATGAACTAACATCCATACATGCTCTAAAATAGTAAAAGCTGTACACAGCCATTTGGTCAGCAGTTGAAACTTCAGGCAACCATTAGGAGAGAAAACAACAGCAGAGCATGATGAAAAAGAATGCTGAGGGTTGCTAAGGAGTTCAATCAAGTGCAATGCCCTTTTAATGGAAGCAAAATGTCTCTATGAGTATAGAAATTTATGCAGATGGTGGGCCAAGAACTGGGCCTTAAGAAAGAACTGAACAGCCTGCCACAAAGTTGAAAGACAACTACTAAGATATGGAAAGGAATTCAGTGGCCAAAAAAACTGAACGTAGAAGAAGTACAATTACAACGTGGATAAACCTCAAGTTCATTATGCTAAAGTGAAAGAAGCCAGCCACAAAAAGCCTCATACTGTATGATTCCATTTATATGAAATATCCAGAATAACAAAATCCGTAACAACAGAAAGGCCAGTGATTCACAGGAGGAAGGAATGGGGAGTGACTGCTAATGGGTAAAAGGGTTTCTTTCTAGGGTGATGGAAATGTTCTCAAATTAGATAGTGGTAATGGTTACACAACTCTGTGAATACGCTAAAAATGGCTAAATTATATACTTTAAAAGGGTGAATTTTATGGTAGGTGATGTGAATTGTATTTCAATAAAAAGGTTATGAAAGGAAAAAAAAACGGAATGGTGAGAAGACTCCAGGGAAGATAAGATTTCTGAAGCTAATAATATTTTTTAAGGATGTCAATATAAAAAATGTGTTTAATATCTAAAAAGAAAGCCGAAGATCAGTTAACAAAATTTCTTAGCTGCCTAAACACCTCACAAAGCATAAGGATACAAGGATGTCAAAAACTGTTTAATCCTACAAACTATATTAAACATACCGTTGATTTTTTTCTGGTCCTAATGTAGTTTAATATCTTCTTTCTTGGTCCTAGGGGAATTCCCATTTCCTGAAGATCTTTGTCGGTACATAAAGCCTAGATATAGAAAATCAAATATCCTTCTTATTTCTAGGCAAAATAAAATAAATTACATGTCCTATTCTCTGAGAGGACTAAGACCTAATCATTCTTGTTCTTTGCTTTATATCACTAGGGGTCCCTAGTGGTATAACATCATTAAGAATTTTAAGAAGAGAGTATTTTAGGGGCGCCTGGGTGGCTCAGTCAGTTGAGCGCCGACTTCGGCTCAGGTCACAATCTCGCGGTCTGTGAGTTCGAGCCCCGCATCGGGCCCCTGTGCTGACAGCTCAGAGCCCGGAGCCTGTTTCAGATTCTGTGTCTCCCTCTCTCTGACCCTCCCCCGTTCATGCTCTGTCTCTCTCTGTCTCAAAAATAAATAAATGTTAAAAAAAAAAAATTTTTTTTTAAAAAGAAGAGAGTATTTTATTCATAAAAGCCTAGAGAAAAATAAAAGGTATCAATGCTATAGTAATATAGATGACATTATTACAAAAAAAAAAACAAAAAACAAACCTACAGAAGTGAGTAGATAATGCATGACACAAAACACTCTTTGATTTCCATGCAGCCTCAGATGTCACATTCCTGAGAAATACTATATCCCTACTCATGGACACAAGCAGTAAGAACATACAGCAAATGTGGAACATGAAACAGATGAACAATCAGTATCTCAGCTTCAGTGCTGCTTACCTGAGGAGGTTAAGGCTTCCTTCACCCTCCCAGACTAGGTTAGTTCTTAAATACCACTGTGTGCTTTTCCTACTCAGAACTTACCATAATTGTAATACAGTATTTAATATGTGTCTTCCCTGCTACACTATAAATCTAGTGATATGAGAGACCATATCTGTCTTACTGACTGCTCTATCTCTAGTAGTTGGTATAGTAAGCCTGATCATATTAAGCATTCACTAAATATCTACTAAATGAAAGAATGTATTGCAAACCCGAAAAAGCACCAAAAAAGTGGCAAAAAACAAAAACAAATAAAAAGCAAATATCAGCAGCAGAGTTCTTGAAGGTATAACAGAAACTAGAGTCAGAATAGTTAGCGGTCATTTATTCTAACTCATGTTCACATTATCCGAGCTGTGTTGCTTTTTAGTCCTTGCTCTGCCACTATGTTTGTCGACATGGCTCCTCTGAACCTTGCACTTCCACAAAGCAAGCTCACTTTATATGATAAAAAAACACATAAACAAGCTAAAGGACATCACTAATGATAACAAAGTATTTATGACTAAAATGATTCCAAAGGGCAGGCTCTTAGTAAGTGGTAAGATGAAGATAAGCAATAAACATACTAAAAATGGTACAGCATAAAGTTTTAAAAGATGATTTTTACCAGCGCTTCCTTATCTACTTTCTCCTTCTCAAAGATACTAAAGAATTCAGAGAGTTGAAGTTTCTCCAAATCTTCCTCTAGTGTCAGTGTGTCTCCTTGATCCATGACAATATTTGGTGCATCCTAAAAATTAAATAGTAAAGCTCACATTCTCTGAATTTATTTAGATTTTCCTTTATTATTACTATTTGCCAATAAAAATGTATAAGAGTTCCACATAAAGATATACTTAATTTTAAATAAATTGTAATTTATATAAAATTTAAGAAGGGGCTAATCTCTAAATTTGCAACCTCAGTTGAAACAATGTTTTTAAATAAATGAATGCATGAATCATTATCAAAGTATTTTCAACTTCATTAACACAACATTTATTGAGCTCTTATTAAGGAACAAGTGTTTAAGACATAAAACAATCTAAGACAATGCCCCTGTCCTGGAAGAACTCATAGTCCAACAATATAAATAGAATACTTACATAAAAAGAGAAAATACACAAGATAGCATATGCTAAGTACTAATTTAACACTATAGATAAATGTTCATAGGACTTTGTTTTACAAAAGATGTTTAAACATCAAGTCCTCCCACTGCTTTCAGACAGAATTTCTATAAATTATATCAGTTTGCATCCAATTTATTCTTCATTTCCACATCATATGCAAACTCCACGTCAGCTCAATGATTCTATAATTCTAATAATAGAACAGAAGTGAGTATTTATAATGGAAAATAAGATACCTATAGTTATTTTAGAATATGACAAATATTTGTGGGAGCATATTACTATCTTGCTTCTATCATCCAAAAGTGACAGAGATAATTACAAGTCTATTAAAATTAAAATAAATGTAAAATCAACGTTATGGTATGAAACTAAACTAAGCAAAAAACTAAAAGTCTAAAATCTAAAGATCCACACTAAGAGAGAGTATATGAGAATCTATCTGTACATCTAAATTACCTTTTCACTGTCAATATCCCCCAAAGAATCTTTCTGATTTGTTAGGATATCAAACAATATAAGCGAACCTGTAAGTAAAATAGAAAAAGGGACAATTTCTAAGCATTGGCACTACATAGCTGTCTTTTATACAAAAATTATTAAGCCAATTACCCATGTAGCAAAATCTATGCAGCAGGAAGTCTTTCCTTCCAATCGACCACCACCCTTCCAACCCCTTCCAAATTGTACATCAAAGACCAGTTCTAGACCTCTGAATCTGATACTGATAAAAGACACTGTACTTAAAGAACAGGTATCCTTAATATATAATAGTCCTTTCTGGTCACAGAAAACTCATTTGTTACCTAAACTATGACCAGCAATGGATACACCGCCTTTGAAATCAGGGTTCCTCTGCAGAAAAAGTGTATATATTCGGTTCATTTCAGAAGCAACTGTGTCCACAATAGTCTGACAGTAGGTGGGGCTATTGTAGAAGAAGACATCCAGAATTGTGTCATTGGTGAAGTGCCTTAGGCGGTTAATGCTGGGCAGAGTTATTCGCTGCAGATCTCTGAAAAAAAAGAAAAATATTTTAAGCAGAAAACCTAATACATTCCAAAAGCCCCTCTAAGCTATTATCCAGCTTAGCCTTCAAGTTCAGACTTAGATATTTAAAAATACAACAGACAATCAATTTATAGTAAATACAGAGGACTCAGAGACAGGTTTAATTAAGCCAAAAGAATTTCATCAGCAAAAGTGAGTGAGACCCTATACAAGACAAACCTAGTTTCTTCAATACATAAATTACAAAGAAATAAGAGATGGAAAGGTAACCAAGAGATCAAAAGAGACTTAAAAGACGTATCAGTGAATTGCAACTTATGGACCTTATTTAGATCCGCTTAAAATCTGTGTGTGTGAGCTTGTGTATGTATACATATATGTATATTTGTTGATATTAAGAATTTTTTAGGTGTGATAATGGTGTTATGGTTAATATATTTTTAAAAGTCCTTTCAGACATACAAACATTTACAAATGAAATGATGTAATATCTTAAGATTTGGTTCAAAAATAATATGATGGGAAAAAAATAATAACATGGTGGAGGGATGGGCAGTAGACAGGGATAGGAAGATAATGGATACAGCAGAATCGGCCATGTGTTGAGACTTGTTGGAGCTGGGTAATCATCATCTGTACATGAAGACTCATTATATAAGCTACTTTTTTGTACAAAATTGTCTACCATAAAAAAAGTTTTTTTAAAAGACAGATAATACAGAGGCTTTTCCTAGAATTCTCAGCATTAAGGTTTTTGGATCACAAGTCAAATAATAAATGGATCAGCTCCCTTTCTCAATGCATCATTTCCAAAAGCTGAAAGAAGGCAAACAGAACTCTCATCCTGCAAAGGAAAACCATGCAGACATTATTATCTAAGTCAACTTCGTTAAAGCTTTCTCAAGATACCCATAAAGATTCCTCAAAGACTCAACAGTTTCTGTAGTTTAGAGAGGGCAATATGCCCTTAGTAACCTCTTAGTATCAGTTCAGATATGAGTATGAACTCCATACCTAGTAAAAGCAACATAATACAACATCGGGCACATGCAATATGCTCAAATCACACAGAATTAAGAACTGAGAGATGCAGAATTAGGAAAACCATTTCCAAGATCAACATGGAAGTAAAACTACTTCCTTTATCTTCCAGAGAAGCATTTGCCAGTTCTATCCTAGAACTATATTATGAACACACTTCTTTTTGGAGAGCCTATAGCTCTCTAGAATATCCTTAACATAAGGCAACCTTCTGACATTACCATAAAATCCATAAACAAAACTACTGGGCTTGTGACCTAAGAAAGCCATCACTTAATGGGTGCCTGGGAGGCTCAGTTGGCTGAAAGTCCAACTTTGGCTCAGCTCAGGTCATGATCTTGCAGTTCAGTTCATGAGTTCAAGCTCCTCACTGGGCTCACTGCTGTCAGCGCAGAGCCCGCTTTGGATCCTCTCTCTATCCCTCTCTTGCTTGCTCTTGCTTAAAAAAATAAATAAAACATTAAAAAAAAAAAAAAAGCCATCACTTAAGAAGTGCCTGGATGGCTCAGTCAGTTGAGCATCTGACTCTTGATTTCAGCTCAGGTCATGATCCCAGGGTCATGGGATTGAGCCCCACTTTGGGTTCCATGCTGGGCTCATGGAGCTTCCCTCTGAGGGCTCCCCTCTCCCCCACTTGTGCTCTTTCTCTAAAACAAAATCAGGAAAAACAGCCATCACTTAAAAGTTGTACTAATTAGGGTACTAAGCCTGGGTGGCTGAGTAGGTTGGACATTGGACTCATCAGGTCATGCTCTCATGGTTCTGATGGTGCAGAGCCTGCTTGAGATTCTCTCTCTCTCCCTCTCTCTCTGCCCCTCCTACACACATGCTCGCTCTCTCAAAATAAATAAATATGAACTTTAATTTTAAAAAGCTGTACCAAAAAAATAAAAAATAAAAAATAAAGTTGTACAACTATACTTCAAGTAATAAATGCTAATAATTTAATGTTTGGGATTCCTTTTTTTTTCCCCCAAATGTGGACAAATGTTATCTAAATAAGATCACAAAAGGAACAATAAAATACTTTATATTAAACTGATAAGAACAGATACTACACTTGATCTCAGCCAAAAGGCTGAGAAGCGATACAATAAAATACTTTATAAATCTTGAGGTAGGTTAGCTTTGACGTCCAAAGAAGGAAATGCTTATACCATGGGAAGAAAGCAATGTTTGTTTTTAATGCTAAAGAAATAATATATCTGTAATAGTAAACAGTAATGAGCTAATAAAACATACTAGAAGATACACACAGCTCTTTACTCCTAACCAGGATAGTTAAACTAAGGGATTGGTCAACATTTTAAAATGTTTCTCTAAGAAAAGGCACAGAAGCACACAAAACTTGCTGAAAAAATTTTTATACAATCAGCTATAAGCAGAAACATACCAAGCGTATCAATGATCAAAAAACATATTACAATCATAGTTAACAACTCAAATATGAAAGGTATTACTCACACATCCACACCAGTAGAATGCAAAGGACTATGCCAGTTGACTGGAAGAAATTCTACCCTCCCAATCTGCTGATTTTCTTGGGCTTTCTTAAAATGTGTCTGTAGTAGATTTAAGGAAACACTGCGAAAATCGTTAACTGAAAAAGAAATGAACTTATGCATCACCAGGGAAGCAATCAATTTATAGAATTAGGATACAACAGATCATGTAATTATATTCTATCTTCATTTGCTTAGAACACATATTTACCTGAGTCACAAAGAGCAAGTGGTATTTAGTGAATATTATCAGTGCATATAGGAAGAGCTATTCCCTTAACACAGAACTTTATTTTACCATATAAAACATTTTATCTAAAGAAAAGCTAACTTCAAAATTTCTATTATGTCATGGGGACTGTTTTACTTTTTTTAATAAAAGAGAAAAAAATGACTATTTCAATTGGCCTTGCAGTTATATTCCTATCCTAACTTTGTGGTTCTTATAAACAACCACAATCCAATATTTTAAATTAAAAAAATATATACACTATTTGAAATTCATACACATCAATCTTAACTTTCCAGAACGTTTATGCTTAGAAGCATTAGCCAGTAGGATAAGATTCCCAAATTGGGACAATTAGACTCTGAGTATATACTGTTAAGTTTTAGAGACACTACCTTTCAAAATCAAGTTATACTAACGACCTAAATATTCCAAGTAGAACATCAAGAGCTTTATCACACTATAAATTACACAATGATTAAAGGTTCTGTTATCCATTTAAACTGTATCATTTTTTGGTTCCCTTTAAATTTGGAATAGAGGACCATCACATCATAAAATAATTTTATAAGAATTAAAGGCCTGTTCGTTCAAGAATTATTAGTTAAGAATATAACTATTAGCCTAGGGAATTTACTAGTACTTTAGGTCTAAGTTAAGAAGATTTACCACCTTGCCACCTGTCTTTAGCTATCCAAATCTTATTATGCAGGTAAGACAAAAGATTAAAAAGACACTTTATCTCAGCTCATGGGAGTACAGACTAATATTCCCCTAAAATGATTTAATCTTATACACTCTGCAAACCTACCACACTGTACAATGCTTCGAAAGCGGAGATCACAAGCTGGTCCAATCCCATGGACTACAAAAACCAAGTGATCTATTTGTAAAGGTTCTCCTACAAATGAAATTAAAAAGACAAATTATTTTAGATACCTGGTCTTATATTCTAAAATCAAACATTCACAATGAATAGGTTATAAAGATAAGCAGATCACTTTAAAGGACATAAAACAGACCTATATCTTACTTAGTAAAAATACAGGGATTTTACTGTGTTTCTAATTTATCTTGACATAAGTCTGTGAAAAAACTTTTCAGTCTTTTTTAAACTTTTTATTTTGAAATAACTACAATCTTACAGAAAACGTGAAAGAACAGTATAGACACTTCCCTGTACTTTTTACAAATTCAACACTTCAACGTTTATCACTTGCTTTATTATTCTCTATGTGTATGTGTTACACACACATTTTTTTTCTGAATCATTTGGAAGCAGTTGCGTAGATAATCAGATTGCATACATCATACCTCTTTAGCCCTTTAAATACTTTAATGTGTATTTCCTAAACATATTTTCTTAAATAACCACAGTAATCAAATTCAGGCAACATAACATTGGTAGAACACTTTTATCTAATATTCCATTTTTATCAATTGTTCCAATGTGTGATGTGTATATAAACCCTAAACATTTAAACTCATCTTTTTATTTTTTTTAAGTTTTTATTTAAGTAATCTCTACACCCAATGTGGGGCTCAAACTCATGACCCCAACATCAAGAGTTGCATGCTCCTCCAACTGTGCCAGCCAGGTGCCGCTAAACTCATCTTTTT